ATTAAGTATATTGAGTTATTAGAATTAAACAAGTTTAGGTAATCCTAATTGGAGCCGGTATCAATCTGAAATAACAAGTTAATCGTGAACCTGCTGATAAACCTAATTAAGGCATAAATTTGGACTAATTATGTGAATTAGGTATTAATGTTTGGTTCAGGCAGCTCGTTTGTTTAAAAAGGGGATTTGTTTGGTTTGAAGGGATAATTGTTTGAATAGGTTTAGTTCTACCAGTTTTAGGCAGAAATAAAAAGGCCATTAATTTTATAGAATCCGTAGGCTTGACATATTTGAAGCGCGATTCAATGTAGAAAGGATAAGAACCTTAATCCAATAGGTTATCCAAGTTAACGAGTTAGCTTCAACAAACTTTTGTAAGCATCAGTAATTAAGGTGGGTTTAGTTTCAAATTGTTGAAAAGCATTTAGTCTCAATGAATCAATTCGTCTAACCATACGAGTTTAATCTAGCTATANGTTGAAAAGCATTTAGTCCCAATGAATCAATTCGTCTAACCATGCGAGTTTAATCTAGCTATAGGTTAATTAGTTTTGTTTTGAATATGTTATTTGTCGATGTTGCATTTTATTTATAATTTCAATTTTAGTAATCTTCTCTTCCAATAACATTTGTCTTAATCTAGCAATTAATATGTCACGTTTTTTTTAGCATGTAATTAACTAGGATTATTTTCTTTTATTTTAGAGAACAACCTAAATAGAAATGTAGTCGCTTTAGGACCGTTCTTTTAAAAAGAATGAGATGAGCCTCGCCGAGTAAAAATATAAAAGTTGCGGGGCCCTCGGTAAATATTTACTTTAAAAATTGCTTAGACTTCGGAATGGACCGTTTAGCAAACTCTCACGACCTTACCCAAAGTAAATGATGCGCTAGTCGCTTTAGGCGCGCCTTTAATAATTTAATTTTCTTAAAACTCGAGTGCACATTTATGTGACCCAAATCCAAATCTCAACAGAGTCGAAATATATCGATAACCACGGGCACATTGATGTGACGTGGTTCGAGATATATTTTCACGATGTTGCAATTCTCTATAAAAATAATAATAACAATAAAAGCGGTTTAAAGTTGAAATTGCACTATAGTTTTTGAACAGGTATTAAAATCAGATATTTTAGCCATTACAACAGTTTAAGCGACTGTGCTAGAACCACGGGATTTGGGGGTGCCTAACACCTTCCCTCGAGTCAACAGAATTTCTGGTTCGTAGACTTCATTTGGAAAGTCGAATATTTTCCTCGATTCGGGATTAAATTGGTGACTTGGGACACCCTAAATCTTCCGAGTGGCGACTTTGAATAAATGAATAAATCTCGTTTCGATTGTCCTTTAAGTGGAAAAAACTCCCTTCCGCGCCCTTTTAAGGTGACGCGGGTGAAAAAGGAGGTGTGACAGCTCTGGCGACTCTGCTGGGGACCAAACCCAGAACCACCGGTTCAGGGTTAGAAATTCGAGCTTAATAAATTGTTGTGTTTTGGCTTTATTATCTGATATTCTCATATGATCTGTGCTCAATATGCAAAATGATATTTTTTACTGCTTTGATATTATTTGAATTGTACATATAAACTGTGTCGAAACCTTCTCTTCTTACCTCTGGGGATGTGCTTACTGGTTAAGACTCCCTATTCTGTTAGTGTCCTACCCTAAATAAAAGAGGCTCGGAAAGTTTCTAAGCCGGCTGGCCTTTTGGTTCCCGGAAAGGAGCTCCTTCCTCAACTCGAGTTGTCCGCTCGGGTG